TTCCTTCCTTCCTTCCTTCCTTCCTTCCTTCCTTCCTTCCTTCCTTCCTTCCTTCCTTTCCTTCCTTCCTTCCTTTCCTTCCTTCCTTTCCTTCCTTCCTTCCTTTCTCTCTCTCTCTCTCTCTCTCTCTCTCTCTCTCTCTCTCTCTCGACACAGTCTCACTCTGCTGGAGTGCAGTGGCATGATCATGGCTCACTGAAACCTCTGCCTCCCAGGTTCAAGCAATTCTTATGCCTCAGCCTCTGGAGTAGCTGGGATTACAAGTACCTGCCACCACACCTGGCTAATTTTTGTATTTTTAGTAGGAAGGGATTCATCATGTTGGCCAGGCTGGTCTCAAACTCCTGACCTCAAGTGATCCACCTGCCTTAGCCTCCCGAAGTGCTGGGATTACAGGTGTGTGTGCCACTGCTCCCAGCAGGAGATCCCATTTCTATACAAAGTTTAAAAAAAAAAGCTGGTCATGGTGGCATGCCTGTAGTTCTAAGAGGCCACGGTGGGAGGATTTCTTGAGCCCAGGAGTTCAAGGCTACAGTGAGCTATTATGATTGTGCCATTGTACTCCAGTCTGGGTGACAGTGCGAGACCCTATCTGTCTTAAAAGAATAAATAAATAACATTAAATAAATAAATAAAATGTTCTTATCACCTTTCTTTCAGATTTCTCTATTTCTCCAATGATTCCATCATTGGCCAAAACAGTCTAATTCCCCTGCCTCTCCTTTCAAACTCAAGTTCCATGGATGTTTCCATGATAACATTTTTCATATTTATCCTTGCCCATTCCTCTCTTTGCACTTCAGGCATTAATTGCCTCACATCTATTCTACTGCACCAGCCTTTAACTAAAGTTCCTTCCCCTTCAATCCATAATGCTCACCTGTGCCAGAGTAATCCTCCTGAAATACTATTTCTAACACATTATCCTCTGACTCCCAAAATATTCCTGCCTCAATCTCAAGGTCCCGTACAAACAAGGCCCAGGTTCCCAAATACGGTCTTCCCTAACTCCAGCTCAATTAGGGCTCAAGGAAACCCCAGCTTAGGGTCCTTGTTGTATCTTCTAATGGCATGCCCACTACTTTTTTCTCCCCTTCAAAATTCTTCCACATTTTTACTGCCCAATACACTGCTACCTCCTTCATGAAGCATCCCTTACCAGTTCCAGCCCACAATGATCTTGCTTTTTACCCAGCGATCAGTTTTTCCAAGGCCCACATTGCTCATTTGTGACAGGATCAAATGCTTGAGGACAGATATCATTCACATGCATCGTATGAGGTTGCCTCTTCTTACACATGACTAACTTGTCCTACCACCTAGATAGCAAGCTCTTTGAAATCAGTGACAATAGATGTACTACATCCCTCTGGTCTCTGACAGTGCCTTTCCTATGATATATCCTTGATAAAAACTTACTAACTACATGAATGATTACAGAATAAGCAAAAGGAACAAACAGGGTCACTAGGGAAGGAGAACATACAGCAGGGCAATGAGGGATTCCATGGAGTAGGAGATGGGCAGATAAAGGAAAAGAGACTCCACAGGAGAGAAGGGAGGCATGACTTAAGGCCAAAACTGGGGAGATAAGTACCGAAGTCCCCATTGGGGAGGTGGTGTGTCCCTGGGTCATAAGGAGGCACCTGGTGGGCTCCAGGGGCTGAGCCCCCACTGAGGGGTGACGTAGGAGGGGATTCCTTTGTTGCACCCAGAGCTGCTGTGTCCTCCAAATGCATTTTCTGTTTCTGTGCTGGGGCTGAAACCTAAAGACAGGGAAATACAATTGGGTTCAAAAGAGCATCCTTGAAGGTACTGAACCCAAAACCTCTAAGCAGCCCCCTCCAGAAAGAAAGCCAGGGAAAAGAACAGCCAGAGTGTCCTTCCAGCCCCACCACTACAGCCTACTGGGGGAAAAAAGCTGACAGCAGAATCTAAAGTTTGAAATTCTACTTGCCATCCCTCTGTTGACCCTCTTGGTAAGAGCTTGAGGACCAGATTCTATAACCATTTCCACTCTGTGTCAGGTCTTCAGACACATATTTTCTTATGAAGAACCATTTAAAAAGGGAGCCAGGAGAGCAATTCAGTACATTCTCTAGGGTCTTAGCTGACAGAAAAGAACAATCAGAAGTACAAAGGATAGGCTGGGCGCAGTGGCTCACATCTGTAATCCCAACACTTTGGGAGGCCAAGGTGGGTGGATCACCTGAGGTCAGGAGCTCGAGACCAGCCTGCCCAACATGGTGAAATCCTGTCTCTACTAAAAGTGCAAAAAAATTAGCCGGGCGTAGTGGCATGCAGCTGTAGTTCCAGCTACTTGGGAGGCTAAGGCAGGAGAATCACTTGAACCTGGGAGGCGGAGGTTGCAGTGAGCCAAGATCAGATCAGATCAGAGCGAGACTCTGTCTCAAAAAAACAAAAACAAAACAAAACAAAAACAAACCAAACAAACAAAAAAGGAAGTACGAAGGATGTAAAAAAAGATAAGTATGTGTATGTGCATGAGCACAAATAATGCTACTGACACTAACAGCTGAAGCAATACCCAGAACAGCGGCTGGCAAACCTGGAGAGCTTTTCCAATTTCTCTGAGCAAAAGTGTCTCCTCTTCAGAGAAGCTTTCCCTGAGCACACTGGCAAAGCAGGGATAGTCAGACTCAATTAACCAATTTCTAGATTGCATGTATTAATCTTTAAGTAATCTTACTTAGGTCTTTATTGTCTATGTTTCCCCAACAGAGTATAAGTTTTTTGAGGGTAAGAACTTTTGTCTTGATCACTAGCTCCAAAACAACACATAGCCCTACAATGGTGCTTGATTAATATCTGCTGACTTCCTCTTGATATTTTGCTAACACTTTAAGGTTATCTGCAAACTCAGTTTTCAATATGTACTACCTCTCCCCAATAATTTATATTTAAAAAGGCAAATAAGATCAGACACACTAACCCGTAGAAACCTTGAGAATACCTCAGAACATAGACATTTTATTTCTAACCCTTGCTTATTGCCATCAAACCGACTCCTCACAATCTCATGGTTACTCCTTTTAACAGCATGTAGGGCAGAAAAACCTAAACTATTATCTAAATAAGGCACACTTTAAAGTTCACTTGCTCTGGTATGTACACAGCACACCATAAGGTAAAAATAAGTTCTTCAATAAACCACACAGGATTTGCCCTATTAGGCTGTATCTGCTGAGATGTTAAGGGACTCTCTCCTTTAATATATACCTCACCAGTGTAGTGGTAGGACCAGCAGGTTCCCTGGGTTCTGTAGTTCCCAAGCTCTCCCACTCAAACGTTCTTTGAAACTGAAAGACTCTCTAAAATGGGAGTCACAGCTCTTCAGTACAGGAGCTTTGGGTATTGGCATAAGATAGAACTTACTGCATTGTGATAATTCAACTTGGTAATTCACTAATAATTTAATCCTGGTAAAGTTCCTGTTCATTATCTAGGACTTTTATATGGTTTGGATTTGTGTCCCTGCCCAAATCTCATGTTGAATTGGAGGAGGGGCCTGGTGGGAGGTGACTGGATTACGGTGGTGGCGGGGGGGCGGGGGAGAGGGGGACAGATTTCCCCCTTGCTGTTCTTGTAATAGTGAGTTCTCATGAGATCTGATTGTTTAAAAGTGTGTGGCACTTTCCTCTGTGTGCTCTCTCTTTCCTGTCACAATGTGAAGAGGGTCCTTGCTTCCCCTTCACCTTCCACTATGATTTTAAGTTTTCTGAGGCCTCCCAGTCATGCTTTCTGTTAAGTCTGCAGAACTGTGAGTCGATTAAACCTCTTTTCTTCATAAATTACCTAGTCTCAGGTAGTTCTTTACAGCAGTGTGAAAATGGACTAACGCAGAAAATTGGTACCAGGAAAGTGGGGCACTGCTATAAAGATACCTGAAAATATGGAAGCAACTTTGGAACTGGGTAACAGGCAGAGGTTGGAACAGTCTGGAGGGCTGAAAAGAAGACAGGAAGATGTGGGAAAATTTGGAACTTCCTAGAGACTTGTTGAATGGTTTTGACTAAAATGCTGACAGTGATCTGGATAATGAAGTCCAGGCTGAGGTGGTCTCAGATGGAGATGAGAAACGTATTGGGAACTGGAACAAAGGTCATTCTTGCTCTCCTTTAGCAAAGAGACTGGCAGCATTTTGCCCCTGCTCTAGAGATCTGTGGAACTTTGAACTTGAGAGAGATGATTCAGGGTATCTGGCAGAAGAAATTTCTAAGCAGCAAAGCATTCAAGAAGTGACCTGGCTGTTTCTAAAAGTGTCCACTCATATTTGTGAACAAAGAGATCTGAAACTGGAACTTACATTTAAAAGGGAAGCAAAGCATAATAATTTGGAAAATTTGCAGCCCGGCCATGTGGTAGAAAAGAAACACCCATTTTCTGAGGAGAAATTCAAGCCTGCTGCAGAAATTTAAGTAAAGAGGAACCAAATTTTAATGGCCAAGACAATGGGGAAAGTGTCTTCAGGGCATTTTAGAGACATTCACGGCAGTCCCTCCCATCACAGACCTGGAGGTCTAGGCAAAAACAGTGGTTTCATGGGCCAGGCCCAGGGTCTAGCTGCTCTGTGCAGCCTCAGGACATGGTCCCCTGTGTCCCAGCCACTCCAGCTCCAGCTGTGGCTAAAAGAGGCCAAGGTATAGCTCAGGCTGTGGCTTCAGAGGGTGCAAGCTCCAAGCCTTGGCAGCTTTCACATATTGTTGGGCCTGCGGGTGTGGAGAAGGCAAGAGTTGAAGTTTGGGAACCTCCTCCTAGATTTCAGAGCAGGTATGGAAACACCTGGATGTCCAGCCAGAAGTCTGCTGCAGGGGTGGAACTCTCATGGAGAACTTCTACTAAGGCAGTGTGAAGGGGAAATGTAAGGTTAGAGCCCCCACACAGTCCCACTGAGGCATTCCCTAGTGGAGCTGTGAGAAGACAGCCACCATCCTCCAGACCCCAGAATGGTAAATCCACAAACAGCTTGCACCATGTGCCTGGAAAAGGCGCAGGCACTTAATGTAGTTGGTGAATGCAGCCATGGGGGCTATACCATGCAAAGCCACAAGGGCTAGTACGCCCAAGGCCTTGGGAACTGATCTCTTGCATCAGCATGCCCTGGATGTGAGACATGGAGTCAAAAGTGATTATTTTGGAGCTTTAAGACTTAATGACTACCCTGCTCAGTTTTGGACTTACATGGGACATGTAGCCCCTTTGTTTTGGCCAATTTCTCCCATTTGGAATGGGAGCATTTACCCAATGCCTATATCCCCATTGTATCTGGGAAGTAACTAACTAGTTTTTGATTTTACAGGCTAATAGGTGGAAGGGACTTACCTTGTCTCAGATAAGACTTTGGACTGTGAACTTTTGAGTTAATGCTGAAATGAGTTAAGTCCGGGGGACTGTTGAGAAGGGATAATTGTATTTTTCAATGTGAGAAGAACGTGAGATTTGGGAGGGGCCGGGGCAGAATAATAATGGTTTAGATTTGTGTTCCTACCCAAATCTCACATCAAATTGGAGAAGGGGCCTGGTGGGAGATGACTGGATCATGGGGTGGATTTCCCCTTGCTGTTCTTGTGAGTTCTCATGAGATCTGATCATTTAAAAGTATGTGTCACTTCCCCCCGCATTCTCTTCTGCCACAGTGTGAAGAAGGTCCTTGCTTCCTCTTTGCCTTCTGCCATGATTGTAAGTTTCCTGAGACCTCCCGGTCATGCTTCCTGTTAGGCCTGTGGAACTGTGGGCCAATTAAACCTCTTTTCTTCTTAATTATTCAGTTTCAGGTAGTTCTTTATAGCAGTGTGAAAACAGACTAATACAGAATCATAGGTTTCCTTTCCTTGAAAACATGAAAAACTCATTCTAATACAGCATTCCACAGCAAGACCCTAGAGAAAAGCTGTTGGCTTAGAAACTAGGGAGATGGAAAATCCTGGTCCTCACATTTGATGGTAATCAGAAACAACCACACTTCAGCTAAATCTTTTGGGCAAGAGAATGCTTACTACAGGTGCTCACTTCACTTGTCAAGTGGAGATAATGATTACTGCACTGCCTGTTTTGTAACCCTGGCAGGAGATGAAAAAAGATACAGGGAACAGGCCAGGCACGGTGGCTCACACCTGTAATCCCAACACTTTGGGAGGCCGAGGTGGGAGGATCACAAGGTCAGGAGATCAAGACCATTCTGGCTAACACAGTGAAACCCTGTCACTATTAAAACTACAAAAAATTAGCCGGGCGTGGTGGTGGACACCTGTAGTCCCAGCATACTCCTGCTGAGGCAGAAGAATGGTGTGAACACAGGAGGTGGAGCTTGCAGTGCGCTGAGATCGTGCCACTGCACTCCAGCCTGGGCAACAGAGTAAGACTCTGTCTCAAACAAAAAAAAAAAAAAAAAGAAAAAGAAAAAGAAAAATATACAGGAAACAAAAAAATTCTGCAAGTTGCATGACTCTGCAGCCCAGTAGGGATCACTGTACAACCCTTTCCCAGCCACAATGTGCACACATGTACATGCTCCTTCTGCAGCAATAAAGTGGCTTGCTCCTGATAAGCAAAATGACTCCAATTTACCTGGACCCTCCTTTATCTCCTCTTGGCAAACTTCCATGGAAACGCTTTGTTTATTCATTTAGCCATTCTGTAAACATTTTCTGAACCCCTACTGATGAAAGACAGTATTGCCCTTATGTCTTCATGTCAGAAACAACACTGACAGTAGTGGGAGAGTAAGAAATGGACTCCAGAGACCCTACTCCCAGGCTGGAGTCATGAGCATTCAGCTGCCTCACCTGTCAACTGTTAGTCATTTTCTTGGGTTGTGACTCAACAGTCACCCTTTTCTGAGGCTAGCTGGATAAAGCACTAGAAATTTTAATGGAGAAAGCATTCACTTCTTAAGCAAAACCAAGCAAGAAATAGGGAAATTTTCCTTCTGCCACCCTCACTAAATGGTTCTCTAAATATGTCTTCAGCCACCTGTCATTGCCATGGCTGGCTCAGCTGCTCTCTAGACCCTTGTGACAGCTGATTTACTCATATGTGCTTACTTATTTACACAAAGAAAATGATGGTTGATAATGACAAATGTGTACTGCTGATAATCCTGGAAAAATGTCTAGCCCCAGGATCCTGATCAACTAGAACTGATTCCCTAGTGATATGTAATCATTTTTAAAAAAGCATTGAATAGGCTGGGTGTGGTGGCTCACACCTGTAATTCCAGCACTTTGGGAGGATGAGGCAGGTGGCTCTCTTGAGTTCAGGAGTTCAAGATCAGCCTGGACAACATAGTGAAACCCCATCTCTACTAAAAATACAAAAATTAGCCAGGTGTGGTGGCTCACACCTATGATCCCAGCTACTAAGGAAGCTGAGGTAGGAGGATCACTTGAGCCCAGGAGGCACAGGTTGCATTGAGCCAAGATTGTGCCACCACACTCCAGTCTGGGCAATAGGGTGAGATTATCTCAGGAAAAAAAAGCATTGAATAAAATGATATATTGGGAACTTGGGAAATTTTCTGTACTGTTTTCCCCTGATAAAGTACAAATGGATAAAGTAGAGGGGACCTCTAGTCTACCCTGCTTCTATTATAGGGGAACAATTTAAAACTCATTAGGAAGAACTAGCTTATCCACGGTGTGATGATCTTTTGATGTGTCAACTTGGTACTAATCAAACATCAATCCAGGTGTTGCTGTACACTATTTTAAAAATGTGATTAAAGTACATAATAAGTTTACTTTAAGTAAGGGAGATTATACTAGATAATGAATGAATGCATGAGCCTGATTCAATCAGTTGTAAGCCCTTAAAAGCAGAGCTAAAAGTTCCATGAAGAAGAAATTCCAGGCCAGGTGTGGTAGCTCATGTCTGTAATCCCAGTGCTTTGGGAGGCCAAGGCAAGAAGATTTGAAGCCAGGAATTCAAGAACAAGCCTGGGCAACATACCAAGACCACATGTCTACCAAAAAAATAATAATAATAATTAGCCTGGTGTGATGGCACATGACTGTGGTACCAGCTACTTAGGAGGCTAAAGTGGGAGGATCACTTGAGCCGGAAGGCTGAGCTTGCAGTGAACCATGTTCATGCCACTGCATTCTGGCCTAGGCAACAGAGCAAGACCCTGTCTCAAAAACAAACAAACAAACAAACAAACAAACAAACAAACAAAAAAACCCAGAGGAAGAAGAAAGGAGACAAAAGAGGAAAGGACAAAGAAGAAAGAAGAAACTCCACCTGTGCACTGCAGCTTCAGCTTGTGCCACTGTTTTGGGTTGCCCTTGTCGATGGCCTGCCTATGTGTTTCAGACTTGCCTGGCCAGCCTCACAATTACATAAGCCACTTACTAGCAATAAATCTCTCTTTTTTTTTTTTTTTTTTTGAGACGAAGTCTCAGTTTGTCACCCAGGTTGGAGTGTAGTGGCGTGATCTTGGCTTACTGCAACCTCTGCCTCCTGGCTTCAAGTGATTCTCTTGCCTCAGCCTCCCCAGTAGCTGAGATTACAGGTACATGCCACCATACCTAGCAAATTTTTGTACTGTTAGAGACTGGGCTTTGCCGTGTTGGCCAGGCTGGTCTCAAACTCCTGACCTCAAGTGATCCACCCCCTTCGGCCTCCCAAAGTGCCGGGATTACAGGCATGAGCTACTGTGCCCAGTCAGCAATAAATCGATTTACACATGCACGTGCACGTGCACACACACACAAACACACACACACACACACACCTCTCTCCTACTCATTCTACCTCTCTCACTGAACCCTGACTGAAACACATGATCACAGAGCTAGATGGCATTATGGTCCTAGAAACCAGATTTTCCAATGTGTCTTACTGCTCACTCTTCCCAACTATCCCTCTAGTTTAAATTACCTTGCTATTACATTTGCAAGAACTCCAGGAAATAGGGAAAACTTAAATTAGATTTAAAGATGCAAAAAGATCCCAGTTAGGTTTGGAGAGTTAGCAAAAGGAATAAATAATTACAAGGCCCCAAAATGTCACCTTTCAAGGAATCAAAGAGGCAGGAAAATAGAAAATTGACTCTGAGAAGTCCAAGGAAGTGAGCAAACAGAATGTCTCAAATGAAGGCCTGTATTATCAGCATACCCAAAAGTCCGCCTTCCCCTGATCACCCTATTCTAACCAGCATGAAGATCCCCTGCCGGCCAGGAGTACCATGCAAATCCCCAGGATGAAGCTAGGCTCAGAACACAGTATCTCACAAGGTGAATCACACAGCTTAGCTGGGATGTGCATTTGCATTTATGGCTTGGAGCACAAAACTGTTTTCCCTCTATCCACAGGACAAGTTCAGGAACCCTTAAGGCAAACTGGCCTAGGGCCCATGCCTAGGCTAAGCCAAGCATTAGAGAAGCATCAGGCCGCCATTCTAGATCCAACTACTTACCTCCTCTGGTCCACTGAGGTGTCTCTGGAAATCCTCCACCACAGCCACAGCCTCCTCACCACTCTCAGGGTGATGCAGCTGCACCCAGGTACGGAGCTCCCCAGGCAGGATGCTCAGGAACTGCTCGAGCACCAGCAGCTCCAGGATCTGCTCCTTGGTGTGCACCTCTGGCATGAGCCACCAGTGGCAGAGCTCCCGGAGCCGGCTCAACGCTTCCTGTGGCCCAGACATCTCGTGGTAACATAATTGCCTGAAGTGTAGCCGGAAGATTTCGCAGACAGGAGGATGGTTCTTTTGGAGACTGCTGCCCTGCCCCCAGGTCTGGTTCGCTGGCTCCTGCTTCACAGTCAGGCGCCCCTCCTGCTTCTGGAAAGCAGTACTCCTGGGGATGAGGCCTAAATTTCCCCTGCCTGAAGTGGTCATTGTGACCCCAAAGAGAAGCTTGTTCCAGCTGCAATTGGTCCGATTAAAATGACGGTCTATAGTTCAGGTCTCAGGAGCTGTTTTTCAGGGTTGGAGAAAGGGGTGATGGTAGTGTTGCCTACAGAAACAAGAGTGAAATCAGAGTTCTTGGAATATTCAGCCCCAGGCTGATGACAATCCTCCACTGAGTTAAAAAACAAAGTTCCAGGAAAAAAGAACACAACTGGGCATTCTCGCTAAGCATCTCTCCAAATGATGCCCTTCTTAAAGTTTCAGTGGCTCCCATTACCTACAGGATAAAATCTAAAGGTCTATGCCTCGCATTCACAGCCCTTCACCACCTGGCCTTACCCCCTTCACAACCAGCCACACCCCCAACCACTCACCCCAAGTACCCATGCAAGAAAGACAGCAATGGTCTCCAATGTGGGAAATGCAGGATACCCCAAAGGGTGCAAGAGAAAATACTAAGTTATTTAACTCCTATTTAATGTGTATGTTTTATAATGTGCATTACAATTTGTATAGTAGTACTCATGTTTAAATTACAAATAAACCAATGTAGGGAGTAGGTGATCAAACCTCTTCTGATAGAAATGCAAAATAAAGAAACTTTGGAGTTAGAGCTCTAGAGACACAGCTAGAAGCCACACATACTCTTTCTTTGAATTTTTCTTCTTCAACTTTTGACAAACTTGTCTGTCAAGATCATGAACAAAGGCAATTTTTTCTTGGTTTTTCTGATTGCCCCATCAGGAAGAGTGCTGGTAGCTTCCCTTTGTGTACCCCTCACTATAACCCTTTAACTGGTTTATGCCCAACTCACCACTCTCATCCTCCAAACTGCTGGATGGCCACCAAAGGAAAGGAACCAAATGGAATCAGAAAATACCAGACCTTTTTTTACTCAATGCACCTCCCCTAGAAAGCCTTCCTGACCACACTAGGCTTAGACGGGTGGTTATCATCTCAGCGATCCCAAACTACCTTTTTCATTCAAACCTCTAGTAGAGCACGTCTCACACTGTAATCGTTTGTGGTTTATACGACTGTCTCCCCTGCTTTCTGGGAGGATACAAAGGGCAGAGCTAACTTCCAGTCATCTTTGTCCACGTGTGTACATGGCACACATAACTGGGAAACGAATGAATATGATACATTTAACTGATACTGAAGTGGAGGAAAACTTTGAACGTTTGAAAATCAGCACCTTATTGGTAACTAGGGCATCTGTGCTGTGCTTCCAATTCACCAAGCGTCCCAGATCCCCGTCTCAATCTCTTTAAAAAGACAAAGAAGGACTTTAAAATAATCTGTAAACCCTGCTCTAAGATCCCACACGTGTAGAAAGTTCAGGCCATTCTCCTGCTTCCCATAGTGTTCCGAATGCTCAGCACTTTAAAATCTCAATTGGATTTTTGCATTTCCAAGTCACGCTCCACGTTTGCGATTCTGAGCCTGTGTCTGACCCAAATCTGACGGTTCATACAGTTTCCCACTGCAAGAGCTGGGAAAACAGCGATCTACCTTTCGTGTTACACCAGGCTTCAGCAGCGCCGCTCACCTGGCCACGTCTGCCCTGTTCATCGCTGTACCCGCAGATACCCGGCTCCGTGCCACGCACGAATGGTCAGGGGTATGGGACAAAGAAGCAGCTCCACATTGGGCGGCTTCTGAGAGTCACGGGGACCGCGCCGCCTGCGCCGCGAAGAAGCGCGGTCCGGGCCAGCGTCGGCCACCCGAGCTCCGGCCGCGCCTCCCTCCGCGCCCCTGCCCACTCGCAGTGGCACTCGGCACCGAGGCCGGACACCTCTACTGCCCGTTAAAGCAAAAACAATGGCCGAGCCGGAAGCGAAAGAGGCCTCGACTTCCGCCCCCTCCGGGATCCCGGAAGTCTCCGGGAAGGTGGGCGCGCGCGTCCCCGCACCCGGGAGAGCTGGCAGGACTTTCTTCTCGGCTGTGCCCGGCCACCTGCTGCGGGCGGGTGCGGGGTCTCGCGAGGGCTCAGGTCACTCACATCCCGCTCTCAGGACATAGTCGGAGAATCCAGACGCCTCCCAGCTCTACCCCCTCTTCTCCAGGTGTCCTTGGGAAAGATACCCAACCTCCAAGCCTGTTTTCTCATCTGAAAAAATGCAGAGCATAATGCGTACCTCACAGGGCTGGGAGCACCAAACGAGGTAATAGACACTATACAGCAAAAGGCCTGGCATATCCTGAGCAGTCAGTTATACCATGTGTGATGCCCAATCTGAAGTCTCAGTGAAGGGAGCAGCAAGCATCTCCCATCTTAAAAATGAAGAAGCATGTCTAGAAATTGTGATATTTTGGCCCATAAATGTGGTTAATATTTCCTAAGACAGCACCAGTATTCTGGTGTCCATGTAGAGGTTCCTAGGGAGACCAAGGAGCAGATAAATTGAGAAGGTGTGGGGACAGTTTGTAACCTAGGAGGCAGTTGTCTAGCCTCTGGGTGGCAGGTGGTACCCAGGTGAACTTCACTTTGAAGAATGGTTTACTACTGAAGTAGGATATGAACAGGTCCTTGTTACAAACACGATTGAGCAGACCCTGTGTGCTAATGACCATGGGTGAAGGGCAAAGGGTATGATGAGGTTAACTGTGTATCTTTATTATAGTGCAGGAGGTAGGTCCTTTACAGGGCCCAAAGTAAACAGTCTCCTGGACTGTCTAGGGATGGCAACATTTCAAAGGTGTCCTGGGCCTAACCCTGGCCCTGACATATGCTCCTCATATATCTGCATGAGCCAAGATAGAAACAAAAACACCAGAAGTCCTGCTCCAGAGTTTCCACAAGCTTAAAAGTAATGTCTTAGAGCAATCTTTGTCCATGGATCCTAATGGGTGGTTTCCCGTCATCATTTGACGGGAAATGGTTTCCCTCTCCATTTGGAAATCTTACAAGGAGGTTTTTGGCTGTTTAAAACCAGGAACCCCAGCCTCTGCCTGACATTGATGCTAGACATTGCCTACTGGCAAATCAAGACCTCAGAAACTTAGGATTCTTGAGATGGAAGGCAAATCGAGGCCCCAGAAGTTTAGGGTTCTTTAGGAGGAAATCTCCCAAGGCCAGGCTAAATGCTCTCAGACCTGATTTTCAGATCTCCTTGACCATGTGTTGTCCTGCAGTCCTGGCTTACTCGTATAGGAGACACAAGGATTTGGAAACCAAGATTGAGGTTTTTTTATTCTTCAGAGCTGTTTCATGCTCAAGTAGTTGTCTTTCATTGGCTGTAAGGACCAGGCCCATCTGAGCAGTGTGTTTAGACTTCAGAGGCACTTCTGTGACCAACACTGTGGGCTTGACCTGATCTACCATGACTGGATTGGGCGCCAGTGGGCAAGACACTCGATGATGCCTCAATATAGCACCTTAGGACACGTACCTTTGGGCCAAAGACAACCACAGAAAGCCTTTAGGAATTCTGTACTCCAACTCAATCTCTCTTAGAAAGCATCACCCAAGCTTTGGTATGAGAGCTAACAAATAGGTAACTCAAGTTCTACATGCCTGAAAGGAAACTTACCGTCTATCCACAGCCCTGAAGCTCCAACCCATGTTCCCATCACTGTAAAAAAATTATCATTCACCCAGGGACCCAAACTAGAACCCTGGGTGTCATCCCATGAGCTGAGTGACCAGGGACAAGTTACTTAGCCTGTCTATGTGTAGCTTCCGTTGGCAGGAAGAAGCCTGACAGGAATTAAAAAACAGGAATGAATGAAGGTCAGAGAAAGCATCTTGCAATAGAAAGAAGAGAAGGAGGAATGGTCTAAAGACCAGAAATCAAAGCCTAACTTACCTGTCTCAGCCAGTAAAATGTTACTCAGCTACTAGGCTGTTTGCCAAGCCTCAGGATCCTCATCTGCAAACCAATGATCCTGTGATACTGTTGTAGAGACACTGGGAGTGCAAAGTAGATAAGCAGCTATAAGGGATGTCCATGTCTCATTCCCTCCAAGCTCCTCAATATAGCCAGCCATCACAGGCAACTTTCTACAACCCAGACTGATCAGGTCATTCCCTGTTAAAAGCCTTCCACAGCAACCTGGATCACGGACACATTTCTTAGAAGCTAGATTGGACTTTGTGTTGGATGCCATGAAAACAATGGTGGCCTGACCATAGGGCACTCACATCCAGCTAAGAGAACAGCCATGGTTCACTGTTAGGAGAGTGGGGAGGGTCAGTGATGGTCACCAAACATAGCCTTGGGGGTGACTTGGTGAGAGGAAGGGTTTTCTCAGTGCTGGGCTCTCAGGGACTTCCTTGAGGAGCTGATCTCAGGCGAGTGAACCACCAAACCCCACAGGCCTCTGAGCTTCCTAGAGGGAAATGGAAGTTGTTCCAAGTGTGCAAAGACCATGGAGGGAGTGGTGATATGGTTTGGATTTGTGTCCCTGCCCAAATCTCATGTCGAATTGGAGGAGGGGCCCAGTGGGAGGTGATTGGATCATGGGGACAGATTTCCCCCTTACTGTTCTCATGATAGTGAGTGATGTCTCATGAGATCTGATCATTTAGAAGTGTGTAGCACTTCCCCCTTTGCTCTCTCTCTCTCCCCTGCCACCATATAAAGAAGGTACTTGCTTCCCCTTCGCATTCTGCCATGATTGTAAATTTCCTGAGACCTCCTAGTCATGCTTCCTGTTAAGCCTGCAGAACTATAAGTTGATTAATATTGGGTGAAACCCCACCCCCGATATTTATCGTGAGTTCTTTTCTATTTCCCTAAGCATCTCGGCTGGTTTGAGAAATAAAGGGAAAGAGTACAAGGAGAGAAATTTTAAAGCTGGGGGTCTGGGGGAGACATCACACATCGGCAGGTTCCATGATGATCTCCAAGCCGTAAAACCAGCAAGTTTTTATTAGCGATTTTCAAAAGGGGAGGGAGTGTACGAATAGGGTGTGGGTCACAGAGATCACATACTTCACAAAGTAATAAAACATCACAAACCAAATGGAGACAGGGCGAGATCATAGGACCACAGGATGGGGCAAAATTAAAATTGCTAATGAAGTTTCGGGCATGCATTGTTATTGATAGTATCTTATCAGGAGACAGGGTTTGAGAGCAGACAACCTGTCTGACCAAAATTTATTATGCGGGAATTTCTTCGTCCTAATAAGCCTGGGAGCGCTACAGGAGACCAGGGCTTATTTCATCCCTTCGGCTTCAACTGTAAAAGGTGGCTGCCTCAAGGGGGGCCATTTATAGACCTACCCTCAGGGCACATTCTCTTTCTCAGGGATGTTCCTTGCTGAGAAAAAGAATTCAGCGATATTTCTCCTATTTGCCTTTGAAAGAAGAGAAATATGGCTCTGTTCCATCTGGCTCACTGGCAGACTCCAAGTCTTATCTCCCTTGTTCCCTGAGATTGCTGTTATCCTGTTCTTTTTTCAAGGTGCCCAGATTTCATATTGTTCAAACACACATGCTCTACAAACAATTTGTGCAGTTAACACAATTATCACAGGGTCCTGAGGTGACATTCATCTTCCTCAGCTTGCGAAGATGATGGGATTAAGAGATGAAAGTAAAGACAGGCGTAGGAAATCACAAGGATATTGATTGGGGAAGTGATAAGTGTCCATGAAGTCTTCACAATTTATGTTCAGACATTGCAGTAAAGATAGACGTAAGAAATTATAAAAGTATTAATCTGGGGAACTAATAAATGTCCATGAAATCTTCACAATTTATGTTCTTCTGCTGTGGCTTCAGCCAGTCCCTCCGTTCAGGGTCCCTGACTTCCCACAACAGATTAAACCTTTTTTCTTCATAAATTACCCATCTTAGATAGTTCTTTATAGCAGTGTGAGAACAGACTAATACAAATTGCTTCTGATGCTCTTTAGTTTAGGACTTGTCCCAGGCAATTGCCTGTGGGCAAGCCTACCGGAACCCCAGCATGGGAGCTGTGGCCCCAGGCTACCCCCATTTGTCATTGGCACTGGTATGGATTCTCCCTCATGATGAGAGGTGAAGCCAGCTGGACTTCGTGTGTCAAGTGCAGACTTGGAGAACTTTTCTGTCTAGCTGGAGGATTGTAAATGCACCAATCAGCACTCTGTGTCTAGCTAAAGGATTGTAAATGTGCCAATCAGCACCCTGTAAAAATGCATCAATCAGCGCTCTGTGTCTAGCTAGAGGATTGTAAATGCACCTGTCAGCACTCTGTAAAATGGACCTATTCTTTCTCTGTAAAATGGACCAAATAGCACTCTGTAAAATGGACCAATCAGCAGGACATGGGCGGGGACAAATAAGGGGATCAAAGCTGGCCACCCCAGCCAGCAGCGGCAACCCACTCAGGTCCCATTCCATGCTGCGGAAGCTTTGTTCTTTTGCTCTTCACAATAAATCTTGCTGCTGCTCACTCTTTGGGTCCGTGCCACTTTAAAGAGCTGTAACACTCACAGCAAAGGTCCGCAGCTTCATTCTTGAAGTCAGTGAGACCAAGAACCCACCAGAAGTAACCAACTCTGGACACATCTTGTCAACCACGAAGGGACTATCGCCAAGTGGTGAGTACCACTGGGCCCCTTTCACTTGCTATTCTGTCCTATTTTTCTTTAGAATTTGGAGGCTTAAACAATGGGCACCTGTCGGCCAGTTAAAAGTGACTAGCATGGCCATCAGACTAAAGACACGGGTGTCAGGCTTTCTGGGAAAGGACTCTCTAACAACCCCTGACTCTTCGGAGTTGGGAGCATTGGTTTGCCTGGAACCAGCTTCCGCTTTTTCTGTACTTCTGGGCTGAGCCCAAGGGTCAACAGAGAGGAAAGCCATTCATCTCTGGGGTCCTGACAGAAAGTTGGTTGACCCTGTAGCCATGAGCGGAGCTCTCAAAGTCATGTAGCCCAAGCAAGACTTGCCCATCTATCCTATCTAGCCCGACCCTTGCCTCCTGCATTCTATTGCCTGTCAGACAAACTTCCCCCTGCCTCTCTTCTCCAAGGCTAGTCCCACTTCTAAAAACAATTCCCTGTGTATGGTGCTTTTCTAGTTTCTCCTGTAAGAATGATTTCTAGTATAAATTTCGGGACTCTGTTCCTTTCTTTAGGCACCTGGGCTCAACAATCAGAAAGACATATTTTTTGCCCAAAGTCCCATTGGTAGGGAGGACTATCTGGAATTTTAGGATCCCTCTTCAGACTAGTAGGCCTAACAAAAGCTATTCCTGAAGCTAGGATATGAGGAACCTCAGAAATGACATCCTTCCTATTTGTATGATGACAATTGAGGACAAAAGGTATCACTCTTCCAACCCTGGATATCCCTTCCCTCCCTCAGGGTATGGCCCTCCACTCCATTTTGAGGC